GAATGGATTGCTTACCCTTTTAATTAAGGGTTTAGCGGAGCGATGTGGTGGTTCCGACACCACCAGCAAAGGATTTCTTACAATGATGTACGGGCTTTACAACGGCATCAATCTTGACTATGGGTCGATTCTCTGGTCTCAAGTGGTTCAGAGTCTCAACACTACCGCAAGGCACTCAGAAATTTCATGCGCCAGGTTTTGGACCCTCATCACCAGGAGAGCCATTGATTCTCTTGCAATCCCTGTCATGAAGGATGTTCTTGTGGCTTCCATTGCCACTTATCACACCAAGAAAATCATTCTCTCAGATCCAAGTAAGTTCCTCCACTATGGACTAATCCCTGAGTCCATGTACAGATGCGTAATGCCCCACAGCAAGATTATGGCGGACTACAGCTCCAGAACCCCCTGCCTCCTAGGGTTCTTTCCGAGGAACAACGTGCAGCTCTTGAGGCTCTGGATCAGCCTGCTAACCGGGGCAAAAGAGTGAGCAAAAAGGAGAAGGCTGAGATGAAGGAACCAGCACCCCAAACGGAGAAAAAGAAAAGGTCCTCCAAACGCAAATCCAAGGCAGAGGAACCTTCTCAGCCCAGAACGAAAAAGGTCAAGAAGATGGCTAAAAGAGCCAAAGGATCTCCTTCTGAATCAAAACAGAATGCACCATCCGAAACAGAAGATGTTGATCCTCAACCCGAAACTGCACCCGTTTCGTCTCCACAAAACTCACCTACCCCACCAGCCGTTAATCCTAAACCCGAAACTACACCCGTTTCGTCTCCACAAAACTCACCTACCCCACCTAAATCTCCCCAAATTACCAAATCTCCTTCTCCTCCTACTTCCCCAAAATTTCCAACCCCAACCCAATCACCCAAACAGAACATCTCAAGTTCTGTTCCAACATTAATTCCCCAAACCTCAACCGAAACCACTATTCCCTTCACCGTTTCTCAACCTTCATCTTCTATCTCCCAACCTATTATCACAGAATCTATCACCATAACCACAACCCAAACACCAGTAACGGTCAACATATCTGATACGGGGGCTGCTTCTGTGGTTGAAACCCCGGTCATCAATCTTCAATCCTCCCCTTCTCCATCTTCCAACTCCGGTGCTACCCTAGGGGGTGATGATGAAGAATTTGATTCCATCTATTACAGCCCTTACCGGCTCCCTACCGACACCGATACAGATACCCCTGTGTCAAGTCAGCAACTTCAAGAGATTCACGCAAAACTCGACAGTCTGCTGGCTGACAGTAAAGCATATGGGGGTGCTGTGCTGAAGGCTTTTATCGAGTCAGCCATCCAGACTTACACCGAAGCTTTGGATCGTTCTACTGACACCGTAGAGAATTCAGCGGCCTCATGCTCCAAAGCTACTAAGGAAGTTTCTGAGGTTGTTCATACCACTCAGATCTTTCTTGATTCTCTCAAGGCTCATGCTGACTCAAATGCTTCCAAATTTCAAGCGTCAGTAGACTCGTTCACAGCCACACTTCAGGGAGAAACCAGGAAATTTGAGGCTCTGCGTGCTGACCTCAAAACTGAATCCACTTCACTTCTCAAATCTTTGGATTCACGTTTTGCCTCCTTGGCAGCCGAGAGCACCCTGAAGGAAGAAGTTATCAAGCACCAGGCAACTATTGACTTACAGAAGGTTCAACTGGCCCAGGCACAACAAGAAATCACTTTGCTTCAAACTCAACGGGCAGTTCTTCAAAGTTGCGCTGGTGACGTTAAAAATCTGTTAACCGGTGTTCTTGACTCCCATGATCCCTTCCTAACCCTCACTATTCGTCAGCATCTCCAGGCGAAACTCCTTCCGGCAATCACTATCCTAAGTGAAATGAAGGGTGTCTCGGAGAAGCCTGTTCTTCCGAGACAAGGGGGAGAGGAAGGTATGTCCAAAACAGAACCGAAGGGTAATGTAGCTTCGGGTTCTGGTAAACATGTCCAAGTTGAGAGCGAATCAGAATCAGATGAAACCATTACTGAAGCTCTTCAACGCAAGAAACGGGACAGAGAGCTTGATGAAACATTGAAAATAGCTCGTGAGGCAGAAGCCAGAGAAAGGAAAATCCGGGAGGATGAGGAGGCTATTCAAGCTAAAAAGACTCTGTTCCCAGATTGGGACAGAGACACACTCATCACTCAAGCAATTGAGTTTCCTTCTATTTATTGGTTGGAACCGATTGCATCTTTTGAGTGTGAAAATTCCAAAGACTCGCAGTTCGACATGCCCATTACGCGTAAAGCCTTCACTTTTCACTGCTTTGATGTCACTGCAAACGTCCCTCATCCGAACCCGAAGGTTGACAGGGAGCTTATCGATTTCTATCTGAAATTCGGTCAACCTCAGTACTTGACTTGGAGTGCCCAGAAAATTATTAGAGTCAAGGTACTGAAACCAACCCAGGCTGGGAAATTTGTAAACGTCAATTTCAAAATCAACAGAGGAACTGCCAACACCGAACATCTTATTTCTCTGGCAGATCTTCCCAGTCTGAACCCCCACGATTGGATCTTGCTATACAACATTCTTCTCTCCAACCAGAGAGAATATGAACCAATTCTTTCTCATCTTAAAAGAATGTTGGCTTCCTATGTCCATGAGCTAGCCACTATGGATCAGGAAATAGCAAAGGTGATGAACAAGAAACCGACTGTCAAGCCCACTTCCAAAACCGGAGATGTCCATAAAATGAAGTTGGGGCAGATTGATTCTTCCAATCTGACAGTTATGTTCACAAGGGGGATAAGCACAAGTTTCTGTTTGCGTTGGTAGACAAGCATCTGTTCTCTACAGAGTGTCTGGAGCACATCATCAATATCATTCACCGATGCAAACAGAACACAACAGCAGATAAGAAGAACTTTACAGATATGCTTCGTTGGTATATTACCTTCAGGCATCATATTCTGGCTTTGATACCGAAAATTTTTCAAACGGTAAAGAAGCCATCTGCTTTGAAGACAGAGTGAAGATCTCGCCCCAAATTGACGCAAAGGGGGAGATTGTTGGGCTTAGAAGATTGCGTCTTTTGGGCTCGTTTGTTTATAATTCTTTGTATTACGGTTTGGGCCTGTCCAACCGTGTGTCTTTTATGCTTTGTATATAAGCTTATGCTTGCATGCATATTAGGTTAAGGTTTTAGAGATCTGAGAATACAATATTTTCCAGACGACTAAAGGTTTCTTTGATCATACTTGTAACCTTCCAATCCTCTACAGTTGATGTTCTTAATCGAGCTCTTTTGAGGATTTTGTTTTAATCATTCAACACGTTTGATTCATTCTTGTTCTATAATTTTACTGTGTTTATATCGTCATTGTTTTCATAACTTGTTCAAGATCTTATCGATCTTCATAGATTAAAAGAAACATTAATCTCAACAAAACAAAAAACCGAAACCGAAATAAAAAACCAACGGTTTGACATTTTCCAAAATAAAAAATCAAAATTTCCAATCTGATTTTGGTTTTACAAAAAAATAAATCATTCTCACTTATGTGAATTATGACCATTGGTTTGGCATGCGGAATTTGTGACATCCCATGAACACGTAGTTACAACATCGTCTGAACTCGTAATTCATAGTAAGGGGTTAGAGTATCATCGCATGAATACGTAGTTACAACATCGCCTGAACTCGTAATTCATCACATGCAGGTTATGGGCCTGTTGGTGTTTCCATTGGGTTGTCTAGAATAGTCCGTGGTCGCCACATATACTCTGGTAGATGACTACATCGCCACATTGTCAGTTAAGGTTATGGTATCTCCTTTCATCCTACATCACCTATTCATCATCATCTATTTACCTAATTATCATCACCTTTCTATCATCACCTATCTCTCATCATTTTATTTCATCACACACCAACTATTTCATCTACCCATGTTTCATCCGCAACATATTTGTAGATATAAAATAAATATACCGTTTAAATCTTTTAAAACATGTATAAAATCGTTCATCCAGCATAGACAATAAGTATTGAAATAATATGCACACATAGTACGTAATTTATATAAAATACTTTATCTCTATGTGTAAGATGAAAGTAACTATATATACCACAAAAATCCCATAAATGCTTCCTAACTTCAAACCCCAAGGTTTACTCTACTAAAGCTTCATATTCTCGGCTATCTAGACCTAGAAGGGTCCAGATTCCTAACTTTAAACCTCAAGGTTTACTCTACTAAAGCTTCATATTCTCGGCTCTCTGGACCTAGAAGGGTCCGGATCTATAACACAAACTTGCAAGAGGGGTTTGAGGCATTCAAAACCCCAAAGATGAAGTGATTCAAGCCCTAACCCCAAAATGGAATCTACACAATAGGGAAGGAAAGGGGTTCATTTTTGTACCTCAGAATGAAGCTCCTTGCTTGAATAACTCAGAACAATAACCTTCTTTGGTCCCTCTTGTTGGAACTCTTCTCCTTTCTTGCAAAATCACACCAAAAAGCTCAAGATAACTCTTCTTCTTACTCTACACACTGAAGCTCGCTAGGGTTCTCACTTATGGGAAAGGTAGTCGCAATTGAAGGCCATAAGTGCCTTTAAATATGGCTCGGACCAAAAGATTTAGGGTTTCTGCCAACAGCGCGGACTCGTCGAGTCGCCTCACCGACTCGTCGAGTCCATTCATTAATCTCTGAGTCATCAGTCGCGACCTTACTCGACGAGTTGAGGTGTCAACTCGTCGAGTCTCTCTTCTCAACTCAAAAGAAAATACTTAAATTATGATACTTGGAAATTCGGATGTTATATTTTGTTTTTTTATTTCATAGATTTCTTCATCAATAAATATTGTTACAATTAAAAAAAAATATTTGCTAAAACATAATACAATAGGAAGTTTGTTCACATTTAGCCATTGAAATTTTTAGAGGGAAACAAACTTTCGATTTTGTTCACATTTAGTCACTAAACTTTTTTTCGTTATCTATTTGTCACTAAACTATTGAAATTGTTTACATTTTATCCTTATGACTGGTAACAGCCGGTCATAAGGGTAAAATGTGAACAGTTTCAATAGTTGAATGACAAATAGATAACGAAAAAAAATTAGTGACTAAATGTGAAAAAAAATCGAAAATTCGTTACCCCTTCAAATCATTATGCCTTTTGTCTTTTAATCACAATGTGTCTCATCGTCGGTCCTTACCAACTCCAAAATATATTGACCAATCTCTTCCCTTAACATTAATTTGTGGCCTTTCCTTTTAGCTGTCGTCGTTACTCGATCATCACAAACAATATGTCGTCTTCATCTTCCTACAAACAGTTTGCTCACTTACGAATCCCACTTGAAGAGAGTCTCCGGCACCACCAATTTTTCTGATGCAAATCTCATTAGAGAAAGTGCATTCGGAAAGGCTTACAAAGGACACCTCTTTCGGTCGGAACAACAGATTGATATTGTTGCAGAAAGGTTAGATCGTAAGCATGGATACGGAGACGTCGAGTTCTGGAAGGAGATTTCGATGCTTTCTAGTCTCAAGCATGAAAACCTGGTATCTGTTATTGGGTTCTGTGAAGAGAAAGATGAGAAGATCATCATATACAAGGATAAGGTCAACGGAAGTCTCGACAAACTTCTTAGAGACCCGACCCTCACATGGATGCGGAGATTGCAGATATGTGTTGGTGTTGCGCACGCTTTGAGTTACATTCATTATGATAAGCGACGCGATTTTAGCGTCATACATCGTGATATCAGGAGCTCAAAGATCTTACTAAATGACCACTGGGAAGCGAAGTTATCTGGTTTTGAACTTTCCATCAGTCAGAAAGCAGCTCGAAGAAACCGACTTTGCCTTATTGATGTTCGTCGCATGCGTGGGTATTGTGACCCAACGTATGTCAAGAGTGGAAGTGTGACCCACAAGTCGGATATGTATTACTTTGGTGTATTGTTATTTGAAGTATTGTTCGGAAAGAACGCAGTGATGGTTAACGAGGTTAATAGGTTGCTAGACCCGTTGGCGATATCTCATTATGAAGGTGGAAGATTAGATGATATGATCGATCCGGTTCTATGGAAACAGATGGATCCACAATCATTCAAGATCTTTTCAGAAATAGCATATTACTGCTTGAAGAAACAACGATCACAGCGTCCAAACATAGATCAGATTGTTATGAAACTTGAGAAAGCATTGGAGTCTCAACAGAAACATGAAAATCCTGTAAGACCAATCCATTTATTTCCATTTCTCATTCAATTTTCGATCATAATATATAGCCAATGTATTTATTAATTTATTTTCCATTGTTGCAATTGGAATTAAAGGCTTACTCGACGGTTGAAGGCATAGCCTCCAAAACCTTGAAGGTAAATATTCATGATTTCTTTTGGTTTGAGGTGTGGTGATCGAGGTTAGATAAACTACAACTAATTTATATGGATCGGTTCTAAAAAAAAGATTTTTTTTTACGAACTCTTTAATGATCTAATGGTGCAATTTTTCAAGAGTGATTTACTTTGAATATCCTATGTTTCAATTCAATTCAGTATACAGCTTTGAACGACCGTTCAATCCATTAACAATAACATATTTAACATAAATCATATATATATATATATATATATATATATATATATATATATATATATAAAGGAAAAGTGAATATACCCTTAAGATATGTAAGCTTATGTATCCAAATTCATTAATATGTTGTTTTGTTTGATATATTTATTATAATATTTTTCAACTTCAATCTTTAACTTAATTTACTTTTAAGATTATTAAAATTTCATTATTATTTTCCTCTTACATCACATTTTTTTGACGAACATCAATTAAACTATATATATTATAGTTGAAAATGAAAATTATGTAAAAGAAAAATAAATATGAAATTTATAAAAATCTTTGAATAAAATCAAGTTAGAAGTTGAATTATAACAACATTAAACAATTACAATGTATATATATGATACAAAACAACGTAGTATAGTGAGTTTAAGTACTTAAGCTTATATATATACTGTTAAGGGTATATATATATATATATATATATATATATATATATATATATATATATATATATATATATATATATTCTGCCAATTTAAAATACTTTTATGTTGATATTTGAAAATATGGCAATTGGACAACTTGGACAATTGAAAGGGTTTACTTGCTGTATTTATTATTTCATTGGACACTATTTTAATAATATTTTTAAATATAAAAATAAAAAGCGAAAAAGTGTCAAACATATCGAGAGGTATCACTGTCTGTAGTGCTCAATAATACAAGGGAGCACGTTTATCTAGGTCTTTTATTATTTTATTATTATTTTTAAACGGGTTTGTAATTTATTTTTATTTGGATAAAACATTGTATTAGAAAACTTATAATAAAACTTATAATAAAGAATATCATAAAAGTATTGTAAGAAATTATAAAAAAAAAATCTTAAAAAATTTATAAAATAAATTTTTTATATTTAAACATTTTTTTTGTACAAATTTGACTATTTTATTTGTTAAATATGTTTACATATTAATATTTACACGTGAGATAGCATGCGATAATGATAATGGTTAAATATATACAAAAAATTTATCTAAATATGACCGATAAGATAATTGAGTGAGGTTATTTTCCCCTTTTGCTCCAAAAGCGGCTATTATTGTGCATAAAATTTGACGTCGTATTTGGGGATGATCATTGTCCAACACCAAATTAAATTTCCTTTTCATTATGTGGTAATATTAAATTCACTAGAACTGCTTTAAGATTATCACATATAATAATGAAATTGATTTTTTTAATATAATATTATTGAAATAATTTTTTATTGTAAAATTATAGTTAGTTGTTGGAGTGAAAACTTTATTTTATGTTAAAAAGCCACTATTTTAGTGTTTTTTAGTGTTTTATGGTTGCATTGGCTTTTAAAAAAATAATAATTAAGATTTATTATTTATATTATTAAATATTATCGATATTATTGAATATTAGACAAAATTAAATAAATGGTCTATATAGTTTACCAAAAGTTATAAATTCGGTCCCTACTAATTTTTTTTTGACATAAATGGTCCTTGTGGTTTGCAAAATTTACATGGTTTGCTAAACTAACATGGAAGGTCCTTTTTATTCACGTCGTCTATTTTCAGCTGTTAAGGCCTAGCATGTGAGGGTAATTTGGTTTTTCAGGTATAACAGGGACTAGATTCGTGACATTTGATAAACCACAAGAACCATTTTTGTAATTTGTCTTAAAAGACAAGTCACCACACCAATGATATTTCCAAAATATGGTAGTGTTACCACGACCCATTACCCTCTCAAAAAGATTTTAAAGAGAAACTCCAAGATCTTGGACTTTCTTATTTATTTTTAAGATGTTTAACCATAGTCCACAAATGTTTTTTAGCAATAGGATTTCCATCCACTATAAGAAGGTTAGGGATAACTTTAACATATTTACACCAAAGATTGGTGTTACTAGTTTTTAACTTCCACCGCCACTTCACAAGCAGTGATAAATTAAGAGAGTTCAAATTCCACGGCACACAATTTTTTTTCATTATTTCAACCCCAAATAAAATACCTTCTAATACTATCAAGAAAAATAATAACTTTTTACGGGGTCTAAATAAGAAAAAATAATATAAAGGAAAGCTAAAAGACCGAATTCACAAGAGTAAGTTTTCCCCCAAAAAAGAAGTTCCTAGCAAGACGAACAAACTCTTAATCTACCATACAAACTCTATAAAGTTTACTCTTATGAATATCTACCTTCAATCCAGAAGAAAGAAACACCTAAGAAGCCCTTTTAGATTTATAAAATTTAGCTTGGATCACTCCTCCATGAATAAGACGTCATCGGTATAAATCAAGTGAAATAAAGTCGGGTTATCATTAGGAAGAGAGACACCATAAAATTGAAGATCAGTTGTCTCCAGAACAACATGAAGTCCTTTCATTGTGATAATGAATAAAAAAGATGAAAGCGGTTCGACTTGCCTCACTCCTCTATTACTATCAACTTTCTTATTATTAACATTGCCCCACTCCACTTCTCATTGTCAACGTGTCTTATTACTATCTTACATATTCTTGTTTTACCCTTCCATATAATCGATTTTTCTTATACCTTTCATAAGACTCTTTTGGTTGATATTACCCAAAATCTTAGCAAAGTTCTTTGTCGATTTCATATATCCTTATGTCATAAGATTCTTTTGGTTGATATTTCCCAAAAACTTAGCAGAGTTCTTCGTCGATTTCATATATCCTTATGTGTCGAACACCTGCTAATAGTACTTCCATAAAAGTTATATGCATATTGCTTTTGTAGGTTTTCTCTAGCAACACCACATATGTGTTGAACACCCCCTAAGACTACACACTTCAACATGTCAAAATCTACCAACTAATTTATCTTCTTGCATACCCGTGAAGTTGATGACTCTAAGATTTTAACTTTAGATTTGAGCATTGGTGATGCCTCACGTGTACCAACCACCTCCATTGATCTGATTATATATTATTTAGCTACTGAATCAAGACAAGGAGCTCGACATCCACTTGATCACACAACTTTCTCATGTTTCCTTGGAGCATCTCTTGCATACCATGTATCTCTCAAAGTAATGTTAGGATTAATGATCAATAAATCACACAAACACATAATTAAAAATATGGGGAAAAAACAAAAACAGAAAAGCATTCGTCAAACACAAACACAAGAGTGATCGACTAATCCACGACGAACTAGAGAGATTTTATTAATAACCGCCAAACACAATTTTTATATAGGCTTACATTTGTACATAGGTGACCAATAATAACAACTTGTTGACCAAAAATAACTTGTGTGCCATAAAATTGCTTGTGGAATTGATCCATAAAGCCATTACATAACCAATTGGTCGTGCAATGCAACCTATACCACAACTTTTGGATTATGACATCGAAATGAAATACCAACTACCCTTGAGAGTTTTATTCCTAGGGAGCTATCCATGGTCCATGTAGGGTGTGGTTCTTATGCTTAGGTGGTGTTTTTTGGAAGCCCTTATTGAGTTATATTGTTTACAGGTTGTTAGACCATTTTGCTAAAGATTGTTTTTTCAAAAGATCAAGACATAAAAAGGTATGTATGTCCTATTCTTGTAGAAGAAATGGAAAAAGTCTTCAGAATCCCATAACCTTCTAAGTCTAAGAAAACCAATTTTATTTTTCACGCTTTATTCTTCGACGATTTTCTTCCACCTCCACCACCACCTCTACTGCCCCCCCCCCCTCTGTCGCTACTGCCACATCCACCATCACCTCCAATACCACCACTAGGCATGCAAATTGGTCTGAAACCGAACTAGAACCGAAAAAATAGAAACCGAATAAGCTGTAAACTAAGAACCAAAAAATGGACCAAATATCACTAATCAATTTCATTTCAGTACCAGTTCAGGTTAGTTCTTTAAAAACTGTATTATTTAATGAGATGTTTGAACCAGAATCGATCCGAACCGGACCGAAAACGAAAACCAAAAATTAAATAAGTCGTAAACTAAGAATCGAAAACAGGACCGAATACCACCAACCAACTGGTTCGGTTGTGGTTCAAGTTTTTGGTTAAAAAGTTCATCCCTAACCACCACTACTACCTTTATTATCGCCACCTATGCTACCTCCTATACTACCATTTTCGTACCTCCTCCATATCACCACCACCACATCTATCACCACCTCATTTGCCACCACCGTGTTCTCCATCGCAGTTGCTACCACTGTCACCACAACCATCACCATCTTTACCACCACCACCACTGCCTTGTACTATCATCTACAAATCAGTATGGTTTATGTGTACATGTATATATGGTTTGTTTGTTTTATCATCTATGATAAATCTTGTTTACTTTTATTTATGAAACATGAAAACTAGAAAAAAAAAAACAAATTTTTTTTCTTTTTCAAGCCGTAAACATTTACTCCATGTTCTTTTATAAATGTGGTTTGATGACTAAAAACATTTACCTATTAAAAAAACAAAAAGCATATTTTGTCTGTAGTAGCAATTAGCAACAATGAGGCCAACGATTTGACTAGTCTCTACAACTCCACAATCTCCCACTTTGAGGTTGATCAACAAATTTGTTGTCATCGAAACTCAAACTCTAATAACCTTCTCTCTCTCTCTCTCTCTCTCTCTCTCTCTCTCTCTCTCTCTCTCTCTCTCTCTCCAATGTATTTGCTTTAAGTATCTAAAAGGCCAGATAGTACCTTGGTAAACATGTCTATTAGATTTTTTCTACCAAATATCTTCTTCAAGTTGATAGTAGCATCCTTATCATTTCTCTTCAAGTTCGGGGTGCAATCACTTATCAATCCTCTGATAAAGTGGTATTACATCTAGATATGTTTTCTTAAGTTGTGATACGATGGATTATTCTCGAGGTGAACATCACCTTTGGATCTGTTTTCTTATCATTAGTCCAAACTTACTTGTTGAAACTCACAAAAGTAAAATTCCACCAAGCTAGACATTTGTGGATTTTATCCATATCCCTCCCAATATTCAATGTAGATCCTTGAATTTTTTTTCCGTAAAATGCTCATCAAAGTCTCTACTTTGGTAAACCATTTTGTCCCTAATATCCAATGTAGATCCTTGAATTTTTTTACTCGAAACGCCCATCGAAGTCTCCACTTTGGTGAACCATTTTGTCTAATGTTCCCTACAACCCCGTTAGACTTTCCCTAATTCTTGTTTGCTTTTAGTACGTCTCTTCTCATCATTGGTTCTCCTCATCCACTACAACACCATTACCACCATTAGCTTTTTCCTACTTGCTTTATTCCTTCACTTTGATATGCTTTGCTACCACTTGTCACAAACTTGATCCTTCAAGATCTTCATGTGAAATTTAGTCACACAAAAGTCGATCAATCATGGATCACAAGCACTAAACATATGGAAGAGTTTTATGTAGTTGAATGCTTAAATTGCCTTTAATACCTTATAGGAACTTGTACTTGAATACATGGTGTGTTACAAATGAAAAGGAGAAAATTATTTGTACTCAATACTTCCCAAAAAAACAAAAAAGAAACTAAAAACTAAATAGGCATGCTTCTTAAAGGTGACCATCCAACATCCTTCAAAAATATTTATGATAATCTCTACCAGTAGACATGTGTAAATAAGATGTGTCTCCATTATAAACTACGTAAGTATTTCATATGTTTTTTTTTAATATTATTTCCTTCCGGTTAACCAAAACACATGACAACTTTACTTCATTGAGATTTTAAATCTTTCAAATTCCAATTTATATAAAACAGCAAAGAGCCATATGTCTAACTAAGTGGTTAAGAATTGCAACCTTAGGTGGCGACCTAGACTTTAGAGAGTGGTGCGGTATGAGACCTTGAGAAAAATAATTTATTTATTTGTTCAAATGTGTTGGTATTTTTTGTTCTATCCTGAATAAATTCACTTTATGTATTAAGTGAGAGTGTGGTGTCACACTATATTTTGCCATTTAGTAGATGGGTTGCCATAGACATTTGCATTTTTTTTTTTTTGATTTATTAGTAGGACAAATGGGAAAAAATATTGAATTTTGATTTTCTCTATCTTCGGCAAGGATTCGTTGAGTCCATGGGGTGGTGATTGCGGTTACCACCTCATCTTGTTGAGGACCTTGTCAAGGCCCGATGCCACCCCTTCAAGCCTTAGGGCATCCACAATGCATTGAACTTTATAGAGTTCAATAGATTGCCACATCATCATTCAACAATCCATACAATTTTATTATATTTTTTTCTACAATACTTTGAACTCTATAAAGTTCAATAGAATATTACAAAATGTAATTTATAGTAAATATTTAAGAATTAAAACCTTCTTTTTTCCCATTGAAGAGTTCAATGGCCATTGAAGAGTTCAATGGCCATTGAACTCCAAATTTATTGAATGCCAAGATGGTATCTCATAATGGTTGAATTTCATCCATTAAATGACATATAGACTTGCCACCTCATTCAATTCTTTCATTAAAGTCACCATTTTGGATGTTCTTAAAGGCAATAAGAAAGTACCAACGATATAAATTTTTCAACCTAAGTCTCATCGTTTTTGACTAATTTAACGAAGTTTTGTAGGGGAAAAATGTGGAACACTTACGCATCCCACTAAGTGATATAGTGTCGGCCACCAAGAATTTTTCTAAAACATACTTCATTGGTTCAGGCACGTATGGTGATGTATACAAAGCGGAGCTTGACCATTTTGATGACAAGTATTTCCTTCCACTACAAGAGAAGCAAAAAAGCGAACTTCCCAAAAAGCGTAGCATTGTAGCTGTAAAACGGATATTGGTTAGAGAAGACAAGCAAGGAGAACAAGGGTTCCTCGCTGAAATTGAAATGCTTTCAAGTTGTAAGCATCCCAACATAGTCTCTCTTCTTGGCTTTTGTGAGGAAGGTCCTCATATGATACTTGTTTATGAGCATGCTGCTAACGGAAGCCTTGATGATTATTTGGAAGGTAGTGGTAAATTGGCTAATCTTAGTTGGATGCAACGTATAAAGATCTGCATTGATATTGCACGCGGGTTGCATTACCTTCATACAAAGATAGAGGATGAACGAAGGATAATACACCGTGACATAAAAAGTGGTAACATTTTATTAGGTGAGAATTGGGTGGCAAAGATTGCTGATTTTGGGCTCTCCAAATTCCACCCGAAGAGTCAACAAACGAACACTCTCTATACAGAACATATTGCAGGCACAAAAGTATATTTGGATCCAGAATATGATAACACAGGTAAGTTGAAAAACGAAACAGACATTTACTCATTCGGAGTTGTTTTATTTGAGGTCCTGTCTGGAAGGTTTGCAAATGATCTGATTTACATCAAGGAAGATAGCAACGGGATTGCACCTGTCGCACGAAGACGCTTCAATGAGGGCACAATAAAGGAAATTGTTGATCCTCGATTACTTGAAGAAACGCATGAAAGTGTTTTCACCCTAAATAAAGGACCTGATCAGGATTCCCTTGACGCATTTTCAAAAATTGCATATCAGTGTGTTGCAGAAACTCAAGCTGGGCGCCCCACAGCGGAAGTCATCATCAAGAAACTTGAGGAAGCATTATCTTTTCAAGTAAGTATAAACCTCTTTTTAATTAGGATTTACCTTCATCTTGCACAATGTAAGTATATGTTCATAATTATATTTAATCCAATGCCTGGTAGTAAGCGATAGCACACACATTGTCCAGTATATTCTATCATTAACAAAAGATTTAGAATATTTTTCAATATTTTATAAAGTATATAAATAACCTTTTACATATGTTGAAAAAAAATATATAAATGTTAAAAGCTTCAGAAAAAAAGTTAAAATCTTTTCTTGTATATATATGGGGTCTGGGGGCATCCTAATTAAATAATGTCTGTTGTATATATAATTAGTATATAATAATTGGTGCTTTTTTCAATTGCAAAATATCTCATTATTGCAACATGTACGTACTTCGATGCAACAACCATTTTAGAGTATATACAGAAAGTGGTTGACATGAACTTGTTCGGGACACGGGACTGACTGTATAGCAGAAGTTTCAACAAAAATTTCAGTAATTTATTTGTGAATAATTGAGCTGATCGAGTGTTTTAATTAACGGTTCACAGGAAAACATCAAGGACAACCTCAAACTTTCACTAGAAGGTTTAATATCGATCACGGAAAACTTCAGCAGTAAGAACGAGATTGGTAAAGGAGGATTTGGTAAGGTGTACAAAGGAGAAGTTGCATATGCTGATGGACGCAATACCATTGCCGCAAAGCGGTTGGATAAGAGTTTAGGTCAAGGAGAATATGAATTTCTGATGGAGCTTGAAATTCTTTCCGAGTATAAACACGAGAATATCATTGGTCTTGTAGGTTATTGCAACGAAATGGATGAAAATATCATTGTTTATGAGTACGCATCTAGAGGAAGTCTTGACAAACACTTGAGCAACAATGGTCTTACATGGAGGAAACGGCTTGAGATATGCATTGATATTGCAAGTGGCTTGGATTTCCTTCATGGAGGTGCGGTGACACAAGAGGTAGTGATACATAGAGACATCAAAAGTAATAACATTCTACTAAATGATGATTGGAAAGCAAAAATTGCTGATTTTGGGCTTTCTTTAATAAGTCCAATAAATAAGGATATGGACTATGTGATTACTAATCCTTGTGGCACAATCGGCTATATTGACCCATTATATTTGAAATCCGGTTTCTTAACGAGAGGGTCTGATATATACTCGTTGGGTGTGGTGTTATTTGAGATCTTGTGTGGTAGACTCGTGTGTGAAATCATCAATGGCAAACTTCAAATTCCAACCAATTTGTTTAAACGCCACTATGAAGAAGGAAACCTCGATGAGATGGTTTTTGAAGGTATAAAGAAACAAGCTGTGCCCAAATCGTTGACCACATTTCAAGCGATTGCCTACCAATGCTTACATGATGAAAGTAAAAATCGACCAACAACAAGTGAGGTCCTATTACAACTCAAAAGAGCATTGGAGTTCCAAGTAAGTTTTCAGAGTCTTAAAAAATTTCGTCATTTCAACTAACATTATTCAAATATGCAATTAAAAAGGCATCAAGAAATAACTAAACACAAATTTTATACGATCTTGAACAAGTATTACACTATCATTTTTCTTGAATAATAACGATACAAAATTACTTATTAAATAAATAAGGCATACGATTTTTTAAGAACCATTTTGGATAAGTGTGTGGTGTAATCTTTTACATTGTTTAGCTAATATACAGGAGGATTAATCTTCTACATTGTTTGACTAATATACAGGAGGATTATGAAATATGGGCACCCAAATTGCCTAATGATTATGAACAAACATTTAAAATGTCAAACTTTCCTGAGATCCACTCCATTGAAAAGAAAAAGGACCTCTACGACATGCTCTGCAAAGGAATACTCCTTCAAGAAGGCAAAATGGTAAGTAGCTCGCATATCCAAGTCGTTTTATATTCTTACTTCTCTTAATTCCTTGCATCTTTTTCTCTTCAGTACTTTGAAAGCCAATTGACTTCTTGCGCTTTGTTAGTTTTAATTTGTAATTTGCACTCTTTTTCTATAATACATTAAACATATATATATCTTGAATTACCTCCAACTTTAGAGCGTAAGTACCCTTGTTCATGATCCATCACCACTGCTTCCATGACTCGCTAATAATCTATGCACTTATGACTTACCAAAATTAGTTTTCATCAACTTATGCTATTTATCATTTTTCGTCTAAATGGATACTTTTCTTACCAAAGTATCTTGAGATATATAATAATTATTATTGTGAAGGATAGTACAAAATCATACATGTATTTACACATAATAGAAATTGGTTTGATTTGTTTTGTTTTATACAACAGTTGTTTTCACTGGGCGATAATGGAGAACGAAATGGAATGATATCAGCAAGAAAGTTTCTATACAAACGTCGGTCAGGTTCACATAAGTGGCGATCTGTTCCAGAATCAAGGTTCCACTCTCTTTTTATGGATATGTGCATATCTATTCGTGCATGTGTGAACATGCACCCTTGATATATGTATCTATTGCTATATTTTGAAAGATAAATTTGCTTTTCCTATTCTGTATATATGACAAGTGTTTATTAAACTAACAAATTAGTTGATAGCCTATTTGGTGTCATTTCTTTGCCAATTAGTCGGTACTCACCTACCAAGTTATCAAACCAGAGAATAATGTACATATACGATCAATTATTAATTTAGTATGCATATTACATGCACTATGAGCAAAAGTGTGCAAGTTATTCTGCTTAAAGATGAAGTATAATTAAATATGGCTATTTGACAACTTTGTTAATAATTACAGTGTCTACTAGACACATAATACAATGAGACTATTTAACAAAATCTAGGTAAAGAAAAAAGAGAATTGAAGAAAAAAGAAGAACCAATATTATTAGTAATCTAAATGTTTATTGATACATTAAATGTGTATGTGGGGCAAGGATGTTGTGACTAATTCAAACTTTGGTATCTTATGACATGTGTGCAGGTTTGATAAAGTAGCAAAGATGTTAGATCTATCGAATCTAAATATCCAAGTAAAGATAAAACCTCAATTTTTATCTCTGGGTGTCAACTATGGTGTTTATCTAGTTTTTAAATTTTGCGAATCAAGAAAATCTGTGGCAAATCGGATGTACGTGAACCTAAAGTACAAAATGGGGAGGGAAACCTTACATACATATTTTGCAACACGGAGAGAAGATGGGTGGATGATGATTGAATTGCATCGATTCTTAAATCATGAGAAAGATGATGACTTTGAGTTTCTACTAGAGAGCTTTTCGCGATGCTACTGTGAAAGCCATGACATCTATATTCAAGGCATCGAGTTTCGGGCCATTGATAATGCAAGTTTGAGAATAATTATTTGGTTCCCATTCTAGTTTATATATATATATATATATATATATATATATATATATATATATATATATATATATATATATATATATATATATATATATATATATATATATATATATATATATATATATATATATATATATTTGACTATGCATACCGCATCTTCATGTTCTATGTTACACTTTTACAGCACAGTGTCTTACAATTTAATTTATACAGGTCAAACATGAAGAAATCAAGAAATTGAAGGAAGTCCAACAACTCTCGATCATTATTATTCCTTTGTATAATTTGTATATTACATGTTCTATATACATCCAATAACAGTAGGATCACCGTAAAGTCGAGGATGCACAATTACCACGCTACAAGTAAAAGTAGAATCAAAGTACACCATACAAATAAATATGGCATACCATTCAATATATTTCATTCGGTCGTTTCATCAAACACTTAATATGCATGTAAAAATAAATTTGTTCAAGAAAAAAATAAGAAATAAACTCAAATGGAGTTTTGGTCTGTTGGAAACCAATGGACAACAACTATGATGAAAGAAAGCAATACATACATGTTGGTTGGTATCCTGTTCAGATTTGTTATGCACATCTTAACGACACTGCTGTTGGGTTTTCTATTGGGTTTTTTAGCCCATGAGGAAAGCCCACTTATTTAGCCCAAGTATATATGTGGGATATACCCTAATTTCACTAACACACAAAAGGTTTTCAGCCACCAAGAGAGTTAGGTGTTGTTTGTTTTTTGGAAAACACCTCTTCAAACCTCTTATTGTTGCGTGGCGCAGCACACGCATAACACTTTTCATCTCGCAGCTGTTTGTTTTTTAGAAGTCTTCAGAGTCAAAAACCTCTGCGCGTGCTTTGTTTGACTCAGCACTTGTACTGCCTCTTCCAAACTCTTCCAGCTTTTTTTTTTCTTACTAAATTTTTTATTATATGTTGTTGAAATTTTATTTTATTTTATTTTATTTCGTTTTTTTTTTGTTTATTCTTGTTGAATTTTTTTTGTTTTTTTTATATTAAATAATGATAATTTTTGATGAGATATCATTATTTTTTTACTAAATATCTTTATTTTTTTGTTAAAATATCATTATTTTTTACTGAATTATCATTAATTCTTGCCGAAATGTTATACATTATTAAATTTTCCGTATTAAAAATCTATTTTTGATTTATAAAATTAGTTTATTTTAATTTTTTAATATTTGCAGCAATATTCAGATGTTAAAAAAACAAACATGCTTCTTATTATAGTATGCAGACGTTTGGTCTACCTCTTCTACTGCAGAGGGTTGCAGAGGTGGTCCGCAGACTTCATGAATTTTTGCTTCAGAAAATCAAACGGCACCTTAGAGAGAGTAAGAAGCAAAAGAAGGTTTTTCTTAATTCATGTTTTTGAAGATATACATTCATTGTTTGGTAATTTCCCGGAGATCCAACGGTCCGTTTCCTTTGATTTTTGGACAACAGCTTCCTAACACCTAGGCCTTCAGATCCAACGGTTGAATTTCCGAGATCAGCTCCAGAGACTCGGGAATCGTCGCCTCTGTTTGCTGCTGGAAATCAAGAACGTTTTTGGTGATATTCTTCTTTGTCTTTGCTTATTTGATTCCATATGCTTGATGTGATTTAGTTCCAAGTATATGATGATTATTGATTGTATGCCTCTAGTACATCTAGAGAAGATTTTTGTATTGCTCAAATATTGGTGATAATGGATTTGAAGCGGCTCTAGTAGTCCCGTGGTTTTACTCTCCTTTCTAGAGAGGTTTCCACGCTAAAATTCCAGTGTCGTTATTAGTTGATTACTTATAGTTTTGGGTTGATTATATTGATCATATAACTTGCATTGGGGTTGTTTTGTTGCAAGTAAAAATATCCTATTTGTTTGCATCCTAAAAGGTTCATTCAAGACGGAAATAGTTTAGTCAAACGAAGTATTATTCCGCATTATTGTTTACTGTTATGGCTGCGTTTTTCCCATCAGATTGGTATCAGAGTGTGGTTCTTGTTATTAGGTTACTTGTTTGAACAATGGGAGCTAATACAAATAGGATTGTAAATTTGAATGGTTCTAATTATCAAGTTTGGAGAGGCAAGATGGAAGACCTTCTTTATGTGAAGGATTATTACATGCCTGTGTTTGATACTAAAAAACCCGATGATAAAACAGATGCAGAGTGGAATATTTTGCATAGAAAAGTTTGTGGGTATATTCGACAATGGGTTGATGATAATGTTTTGAACCATATTAGTGCGGAAACTCATGCTCGTACTTTGTGGAACAAGCTTGAGCAGTTGTATGCTCAGAAGACCGGGAACAATAAATTGTTCCTGATTAAATAGTTGATTGGCTTGAAGTACCATGATGGAAATCCTATTAGTGATCATTTGAATTCTTTCCAGGGAATTATTAATCAGCTTGCAGGAATGGGTATCAAGTTTGAAGATGAGTTACAAGGTTTATGGCTCCTTGGCACTTTACCAGATTCTTGGGAAATTTTTAGGACATCCTTATCCAACTCTACACCAGATGGTATTATCACCATGGAATTGGCTAAAGGAGGTGTTTTAAATGAAGAGATGAGAAGAAAGTCACAAGGTTCCTCTTCACATTCAGATGTCTTGATCACAGAAAGTAGGGGGAGAATTCAAAGTAGAGGTCCGAATAACAAAGGGAAGCATCGCAGTAAATCTAAAGGAAAGTTTGCTGACTATGAGTGCAATCATTGTGGTAGAAAAGGGCACACAATACAATTCTGCAGACAATTGAAAAGGGAGAACAAGAAGGCAAATTACAACAATCAAAAGAACAACCACAAGAAAGATGATGGTGGTAATGATACTGCTGAAGTTAACACTGCCACCAAAGAGTTCTTTATTTGTTGTGATTATGATTTGGTCAATCTTACACATGATGATTCGGGTTGGGTTGTTGACAGTGGTGCTACTTGTCATGTGACATCACAAAGAGATTTTTACAAATCTTACACTCCTGGTGATTTTAGGAATGTTAAGATGGGTAATAATGGGTTATCAAAGATTGTTAGAGTCGGAGATATTTGTTTGAAGTTTGAGACTAGGATGGAGTTGGTTTTAAACAATGTAAAACATGTTCCAGATATTAGACTTAGTTTGATCTCTGTTGGCTTACTTGATGATGACGGTTACCATAGTACCTTTGGTGGTGGCATTTGGAAACTCACTCGTGGTTCTTTGATTGTGGCAAGAGGTGAAAGAAGCTCAAAGTTATACATGACACACCCGAAGATCTCCAAAGAATCGATCCATGCATCGATACATTGTGACATGACTGATTTGTGGCATAAGAGACTTGGTCACATGAGTGAAAAGGGGATGTCTTTGTTGTTGAAGAAAAATGTGTTGACAGGTGTGCATGATGTGAATTTGAAGAGATGTTCTCATTGTCTGGCATGTAAGCAAAATAGAGTTTCCTTTAAGAGTTATCCTCCTTCCAGGAAGGAGAATATACTTGATCTGGTACATTCCGATGTATGTGGTCCCATGAAGACTAGGACTTTTGGGGGTTGCTTGTATTTTATCACATTCATCGATGACTATTCAAGGAAGGTATGGGTTTATACTTTGAAGACTAAAGATCAAGTATTGGATATGTTTAAGCAGTTTCATGCCTTGGTTGAGAGACAAACTGGGAAGAAATTGAAGTGTGTCCGGACAGATAATGGCGGTGAATACATTGGTCCTTTTGATTCTTATTGTAGAGAGCAAGGTATTCGGCACCAAAAGACTCCTCCAAAGACACCATAGTTGAACGGTTGAATAGAACATTGGGTGAAAGAGTTAGATGTTTGCTTTCACATGAAGGATTACCTGATTCTTTTTGGGGAGAAGCTTTGAATACAGCGGTACATGTTATTAATCGTACTCCCTGTGTTCCTTTGTCTTTTGATGTTCCTGACAGGGTTTGGAGTGGAAAATATGTTTCGTATCGTCATTTACAAGTCTTTGGATGCAAGGCTTTTGTGCGTATTCCCAAAGATGAAAGATTAAAGCTTGAAGTGAAGACCAAGCCGTGTATATTCCTTGGTTATGGCCAAGATGAATTCGGTTACAGGTTATATGATCCAGTACTGAAGAAACTCGTAAGGAGTCGTGATGTTGTATTTTTTGAAGATCAGAGTTTAAAAGATATTGAGAAGACAAAGATAGTTCCTCAATATACTTATGATCGTGTTGATTTGGATCCTGTTCCCCCTCAACATTTTGAGCAAATTAATGAAGATGTTCAGAATGATGAACAACATGGTACTAATGATAATGATGTTCCAGAGCAGTCAGAGTTGGATGAGGATCTTCATCCAGAGTTACCGGTACCTGATATACCACCATTTGTCCCACTTAGGTGGTCTAAGAGAGATCGTCATCCTTCCATCCGTTATTCTGCTGATGAGTATGTTTTAGTCACTGATGGAGGAGAACATGATTGTTATGCAGAAGCTATGGAAGATGATCATAAAAGAGAGTGGGTTGAAGCTACGCAAGATGAGATGAATTCCTTGCATGAAAACAATACCTTTGATTTGCTGAAGTTGCCTAAAGGCAAGAGAGCTTTGAAGAATAAGTGGGTATACAAAGTGAAGACTGAAGAACTTACCTCACGACCTAGGTACAAGGCCAGATTGGTTCTTAAAGGGTTCAATCAAAGAAAGGGTATTGATTTTGATGAGATTTTATCTCCGGTCGTGAAGATGGGTTCCATTCGGGTGATTTTTGGTTTGGCTGCTAGCCTTGATCTTGAGGTTGAGCAAATGGATGTCAACACAACTTTCCTTCATGGTGACTTGGACAAGGAAATCTATATGGAGCAACCTGAAGGTTTTCAGGTTAAAGGCAAAGAAGACTATATGTGTAGGCTTCATAAAAGTTTTTATGGGTTAAAGCAAGCACCAAGACAGTGGTACAAGAAATTTGAGTTAGTTATGGGTGAGCAAGGCTACCACAAGACTACTTAAGATCATTGTGTTTTCTTCCAGAGGTTTGGTGATGATGATTTCATAATTTTATTGCTTTATGTTGATGATATGTTGATTGTTGGCAAGAATGCAGAGAGAATTATTCAGCTGAAGAAACAATTGAGCAAATCTTTTGCTATGAAAGACTTGGGGCCGGAAAAACAGATTCTTGGCATTCGGATGACTAGAGATAGAGCTTCAAAGAAGTTGCATATGTCACAAGAGCAATACATTGATATGGTGCTTTGCAGATTCAACATGGATAAAGCTAAAGTGGTTAGTTCACCTCTAACTACCAACTTTAAGCTGACTGATAGAGATTGCCCTTCTACTAAGAAGGAGATTGAAGAGATGGGTAAAGTTCCATATGCATCAGCCGTTGGGAGTTTGATGTATGCCATGGTGTGTACAAGGCCAGATGTTGCCCATGCAGTTGGTGTTGTTAGTCGGTTTCTGTCAAATCCGGGAAAGAAGCATTGGGAAGCAGTTAAGTGGATTTTCAGATATCTACGTGGTACTTCCAAATTGGGTATAACATTTGGAAATGGAGCACCTATGCTTGTTGGTTATACATATTCTGATATGGCAGGAAACAAGGA